CTGGGCAATCAACACTTTAAATGGCTATATAAGCAACAGGAAAAAGAAAACACAGTGAGATGTTTCTCAAGCAATAAGACATAAATGTACATACAGTTGCACTTTTTTAGATTAAACTGGGAAGGGTCATAGCACTTGCATATTGTTGTCCTATTGTTAGTTTCACTGCTTCTTTTGTTCTCATTTGGAAGTCGCTTTGGATAAAAACCTCTGATAAATGAATAAATGTAAAAGTAATAGGCTAAATGTTTGCTCGACCAATAGCAGATGGCCGGCGTGTTTGCAGAAACCTGGGAGATTTTGTTTTACGAATAGAGTGGGCACTTCATTTTTTAACTTAAATGTGCAAGGCTTCCTGTTTAGCTGTGGAAAGACAATTTGGTATGCTGACATTTTTTTTTGTAATATATGTTATTTACCTATAGCTGGAATATGATTCGAAAATCTTGCATAGGAAATAGCTTTCTTCCACATTGAAAAAAAGCTCAAAGCTCGAACTGTTAGCCTGCACTCCTCAGCACCCCAAGATTCAGACTCATTAAATTTCCAAAGTGCCATCTTGCTCTCTTATTAGCTTGGTAATTGTTTACAAGCAGTGATAATACCCAGAGTCATGGCAACTGTCATGGCTGAGTGGACAAAAGTGATCTCCAAGCACTAGGCTGCTATACTAAACATAATACTCTCTGTCCAAAACAGAATTTGGAATGAGGACGAGCTATTTTTTTCCTGCTCAGCCCTAATAGATAAGATATGTCTTGCTTACGGGCAACATCAGTGCAAAGACCATTTAATTAAACTGTACATTCAGGCACAAATACATTAAGACCTGAAATTTAAGACACTTAAAAAGGGGAAAAGTGCTTTTTCTCATTACGTTGCATTTAGCTATAATGTCAAGCAACGAATAAAGCTTTTTACAATGTATTTTCTTATACAATAATAGTGATCGTCTCACCTGTTCCCTCTGAGGAAGAAGCTTAAAGGGATACTCCACGTTTTTTTTTTTCTCATATTAAACTATGCTATTCGCTTAACTAAGACGAGTTGATACATACGTCTCGTCTCATTGCGTGGACTCAATCGCTCTGGCGCACGAGACACTTTGATAGCACTTAACTAACCCAGTTCATTCATTAGGATCCAAGCAGAGAAGCGACCAAACACCTCCACGTTTTCCCCATTTAAATACAGTTACACGAGTAGTGTAACTCGACCAAGAATGGTGACACAAAATAAAACGTTGCACTTTTCTAATCGTGTAAAGTGGATAACTATAATGTATGGAGGAATACCACAGCAAGTTCTTGGGAGCACTTCAACTCGGCGCAGTAATATCATCAGTCCTGAAAAATCCTCTCCTTCTCTGGACTGATGATATTACTGCGCCGAGTCGAAGCACTGTTTACCTCATTTGTCTGTTTTATAGTTTTTATTATTTAATTTTTTTGCTTGTAATTTTCTGTATTGAATGTTGCCTGTTTACTTGAGTAATTCATTGAAAAAAACCTGAGGAAACTTTTATTTAATTGAAAAATATTTAAAGACGAAATGTCATTGTTGTGTGCCATTGTTAATTTAAATTGTTAATAAATAAATATTTAACTTTGTAAATCAGTTAAGTTCTCAAAAGCAAATTAGTTTCTGCTGTGAAATTATCAAGAATTGTGAATTTTCACTGATACTGGTATTTTGACAATGCCAAAATGTATTATTTTAAATAATCAAATATTATTTACCAAATAACAGGAATAATCAGTGGCGAATAATTGGGTCAAATGTGATCAAACTCAACTTCCATCAAGAAATGTATCCTCAACAAAAAAAGATGATACTACACAGCTGATATCTGAACTCCAATAAAAGCGAGCACCTTACAGCTGCCGTACTTCCTCAGATGACTCATCTCCATCACCGTAGGAGATTTCAGCAGGATGTCACTCTCGGGGGAGATGGAGTCTAAAGTTCAGTATGTGGGTATTAAAGGATGAGTGAGCCACGACCTGAGCTCCCTCCACTGAGCTCAGACTGATGAGGGTTTAGCCATTTGGCCTGGATCAGCAGGTCACGTCTGTACGGGTGATGAGCCCTCTGCCCACCACAGCCCTCAACATGCAAGGTCAGCAACTACCCGCCACCCCTAATACCTGATTCCCAAAGGAATCCAGCAGGTGAAGGCCACGGCCACGCAGCACGAAAATGGCACGATGGGCGCAATCTAAAGAAGCAAATCTCTTTCTATCTTCCTTGAGTGTATGATGGAAACCTAGTTTAACCTTCCTGATGGCCGCCTTCAAAGTCCAAGATCTTCACAAGGTCTCAAAACCGGATAGTACGGCATTCAGAGAGTCTTCTGGATCAGAGGAAGGCTTAAGCAGGACCGATCAAATAAATTAAGCCGTGAGACCACGGCAAATGCAAAGCAGCCCCATCGCATTGTCTGAATTAAACATTATTTTTGTATATCAGCAGAAGGATGGGGCTGCTTTAATTAAGTTAAGAGTTGCTTGAGAGACAGTTTAACAGGAGGGCATTAAAGAATACCGTAAACAAACAAAAGGAGTGGACAGATAATCCATAAGCAATTAATTAGGGGAGGAACTGTGTGGCTTCCGAATATATCAGTCACATTGAATCATCGCTGGAAAAGAGAGAGATATTTATATACTGTCCCGGGTTAACAAGTCTGTACAAGGAGAGGAGGAATGAGATGAGACACAAGGCTCCCCTCCCTCTCACCGTCCTATTCTCCCTACCGATTTAGAGCAGTTGCGCAAGACGGTTGACAGTGATTTGGTATGCGCAATCTTTACTATTCAAGATATATTAGCCAAACCATCTGGAAGGTCAGAGAGGTAATGGCTATTGTATATTTTATGAAGGAGGCTGCAGTTAATCATATGAATGAAGGTGATTTTTGTGAGAACGCACATCATGGTATTGGTCCAAACCCTAGTGAGCTTCCATGCCGTCTATACAGTCTGCACAGGAAGCATCCTAACCAAAATGGAGCCCAACCGAAACTTGGCTTGTAGACTTTATGTGACGAAAGAGAAAAAATGAGCACAAAGTAATATAGTGAAAATAAAATGAAATAATACGAGAAAAGAAAATAGCACTGTTAATATTTAGCAATTTAGGCACACTAAACTGGAAGTCAATGAGACCAGAAACTGTCTGTTTATTGATATTCTTCTAAATATCAGAAAATCGGTTGAATACATTCAAAAACTGTAAAACCCAACTGTTTAACTCTGGGGGAGTGGTAAAATTAGCATATTTCCCCCCAAAAAAGTGGAGTATCCCTTTAACAGGACAAAACTATTTTGTAAATAACTCTTCACTACTGATTAAAATACAGTTATACTTTTTGTAGAGTTGACATTTCCTGACTCTATTTACCATCTTAACAAATAAAAAAAACAAAAATAAACTAATTAATTACTAAATGAATGCAAAGTTATGTCACGAAACTCGAGATTCATGAGGTCCTTAACTCAACCTGCTTACAATCACACCATTCTCTATAGGGCAAAGCTGATTGGTTCCTGCTAAATCAGTAGCCAATGAGCTTGCTGCTCAACCTTCAAATATTTGGTCGCATTGCAGTAGCAGTTGAAGCGTGTCGTGTACTGTATGTATTGGCAGTAGCAAGTTCATGTACTCTGCAGCAACAATAACCAACAGCAGCAGCAGCAGCAGCGCCAAGACCAAAAAATATCAACTTGTTATATTCAGCATGCAAAACACTCAGAGTTGTCATGACAGAAATTAATAATTCATTACTGAGCTTATCGTAATGGATTCTGGCATTCCCCATGAAGTAAACATGCAATTATTTTGATCAAAATAATTGTAGCACTTTATTTTACAGTCCTGTTCCCATGTACTTACTATTTACTTATTATAGTTATTACAATAACTGGGTAATAACTAGATACTAACCCTGAACCTACCCATAAACCTAACCTTAACTCATGTAGTTAACTTATATTAACCAGTACTTTCCTAGGTAAGTGCACGCACTGTAAAATTAAGTGCAACCAAAATAACTTATAATACAGCATATTTTAAAGGGATACTCCACTTTTTTTTTTTTGGAAATAGGCTCATTTTACCACTCCCCCAGAGTTAAACAGTTGGGTTTTACCATTTTCAAATCAATTCAGCCGATTTTCTGATATTTAAAAGAATATCAGTAACCAGACAGTTTCTGGTCTCATTGACTTCCATAGTAGTAAACAAAATATACAATGGAAGTCAATGGGACCAGAAACTGTCTGGTTACTGATATTCTTCTAAATATAAAAAAAAAATCAGCTGAATACATTCGAATATGGTAAAACCCAACTGTTTAACTCTGGGGGAGTGGTAAAATGAGCCTATTTCCAAAAAAAGTGGAGTATCCCTTTAAGAACATTCTTAAATGTCTAAATAGACTTCATTTCAACAGTATATCTAAAATAAAATGTTGTCCAGGTTGGCATATAACTGAGGTGAGGTCAAAAAACAAACCCAAACCATCAGTCATTTCTGTCAGTTTAGGTACGAACAGCGGCTGCATTTATATGTGACCTTTAAAAACTCCATAATGCTGAAGGTAGTAATTTTTCCTGAAGGTAACATATTCATACATTTTAATGAATGTGCCTTTTCACATATTCAGAGATAATTATAAGAAAGGAATTTGCAGTTTGATTTCGGAAAAGCGTATCAGTTAAAAAAACATTTCCAACCAGTTGGACCGCGAAACTGAATTAACCAATGGGGTGAGTTTGGGGCGAAGGGTGAGCTTTTGTCCAACCAATGCCTGACAGAAAGATAGTTCGCAAAACCTGTGTAAAAACAATCATTATTTTTGCAATTCTGTTTATTGCTGGAGGCACAGAAATTACACACTCAACCTTTCAAGAATAAAAGAGCAGAACTGGATTACCACAGTAATTTAGATCATTTCCAGAGACTGGGTCAATAACAAAAGAACAGTGTGATGAATATACCTGAATTTCCACACCAAAGCCCATGTAGACTGTCACGGTGTATGTGCAGTCCAGATTCATATTGTACCAGCTCCTGGCTTGCTGTGGCGTCTCTATGTAGCCTCCCGGCGATGTGAAATTGGTGCTGCATGGAGCTGCATTAGAAAAGGTAGAAGGACAGAGAGAGACAGAGAAAGTGTGAGCCTTTCAACAGAGGTGAGCCTTTTTTCATTCTCTCCACCTCACTTCATTGCATTGTCTCCCGTTTTTAATTGTCTTCCGAGGTTTTCTCATTTTCTGTCAGGACCAACAGGGTCAGTTTTCCTGCCCTGCTGTGTAGGAGAATACAGACAATTGTAGTGAAATGGCAGGTGAGCGAATATGTTCTGGTAGCCTTGAGGTCTTTCTGCTCTGTCGGCTCTTTTATCTCCCTCTAGAGTTAAGAGCTGCTGGTCACAAGATATGTTCTCGCTCCATATAAATTCATACTTTTGGCTTAGTTATTAGGAATGTGCAAAATTACATATTTTCATATTTGAATTGTCAGATGATTGTCTGAACAACTAGTTAGCTAGTGGCCTCAAGGAAGCCTTGTATAATTGAACTGCATCACGTCCAACAGCCCAATCAGATCAAAGTTTAGAAATAACTTTGGGACGCACGGATATAAAAAATTTGACCTATATTTATAAGCAGATAGATAAAAGTGAATTTAGGTATCACAACATTATAATGTACTGTGTTTGTCTCTTAATAATTAACATTAAGAGAGTATTAGATGATGACAAGAATGTAAATGATCATGATCATGCACTACTAAATATCCAATATTTGATGATACCGATAAATTATAAAAAAAAAAACATCTCTAATATGCACCGATAATCAATATGGAATCTATATATTGTGCATTCCTATAAACAGATAAAACAAAGCTTACTGATGTCAGGGGGCACTGAAATGTAATTACTGAAATTAAATACTAATAATTAAATAAAAAATGATAGATTCAAGTTTTATTCATAGAATACATATAACAAATCAACAAATGCCCCATGCAATAAAAAAAAGCTGAAAGTTGAATATATATACAAAACACAAATTAATATTAATTTTCAACGACACATTCCCTTGCTTTCAAAAATACTTTCATACATAATATCAAATGGTTTCCAGATTGTTCTGCGAATTTAAAGGGACAAAACAAGATTGAAATCACAATTAAAGCTGCAGTCCGGCGTTTTTCCTCTTTGTCGCCATCTCTGTTCGAAATCTGCAATTGCAGTCACTCGCGGAATTATCAACTTTACGTGAGTTGTACTTCAACACCCTCGACACGGCACAGCGAGGGTGAACACAATGTTTGAGGAGACTGTGAGACTGTCAGTCAACCGTGCCGGTGTGGATACTGGCATTCGGAATCACAGATTATTCTTTTTTGAAGTATGACCAACAAAACATGGTTCTGACATCGCAGTAAAGCACGCTGATTAAATCTAACAATCCCTTATAAGTTATCATATCATGCAAGACGGTGAAAATTACACTTTGTTCTCGTACTTGACGTAATGACGAAAAGACCTGCTCGAATCTCCCGTGGAAATCCACCAGTACCACTGGAATTAAAACCATTATTACAAACCTGCCGCTTTGAATCAAGCTAAGGCAAGCAGATAGTTTTGAACACTGGCTGGTTATGTATTTTCTCAAATATGTCTTTGGGATAATTTTTAACCCCAAAAAAAGCTATGGACTGCAGCTTTAAAAAGCAATTATTGTAAACATTATGGGTGATAGCTTATGTTATTTTTCTGACCCAGTATAATTCTATCAAAGTCACAGTAAGAAAGGTGTCAAATAGAGCGGAACAAAATCACTTATCCAGTGGCAACTTTAAACCCACATCTTTAGGCACAAGCAGGGCTGGTAAAACTGTGAAGAGCCCTGATTCAGGCAATAGAAAACTGTAAGAAATATATGTAAATCTTAGTCACGCTGATCGTGTGAATGGTACCTGGCGTCTGCATGGTCGTAATAACCGTTGTAGTGATGATGGTGGAGGTGGTGGTCTCATCATCCAAAGCCGAAGGCATTGACGATGCTTTTACACTTCCTGGAGTGCCATGTACCTTGATCGTCGAGGACTTTTCTTTGTCTCTTTTCACCGGGATAGGCTCGCTGTTTAAGGTCGGAGTGTCATCATCTGTGTCTAACTTTTTGGAAGCAGGCGGTGTGGATGTGTGTGCATCAGTAGTGGTCAGTGACGCTACAGTCATGGATATCGGTGGTTCCTTTGTGCTTCTCCTCTGAGTTTCGGCTGAAGGTTGGATGTTGGGAACGTGTGGCTGGGTGAGGGCAGCGGCCGATGGAGCCAGTGTGGTGGTTCTGGGAGCTGCTACATCAGAGAATGGAGGAGCGTCCTCGTGTGGGACCAGCGGTGTGGACAGATCCTGGAGGAGATGGGAACTAGAGGATGGCACTGTGGGAAGGTGAGCTGCCCCTCCGCTGTCCTGAAAATACTGCTCGTGGCTTTGGCCTCGGGGGTCGTAAGGCGGGTAGGGCTTAAAAGGTGGATGGTGGTCGAGGCCACTGTAAGGAGGAGCTGTTGTGAAATGGGGCAGGTCTCTGTCTGTGTCCTGTGTGGTGTGATATGGGTTAGACCCGTCCTCTGCTTCCAGCTGACCTCCTCTTTGGGTGACTGCTAACCTCCCATTCATAAAAGAACCTAGAGGAGGCATTCAATAAAAGCAGAGCTAATTATGAAGCATACAGTAAGTTTAGAACAGTGTTAACCTCATCAAAAACAAAACTTCTGATGAAAATGTACATTGTAAAGGATTTTTTTTTTTTGATTTTGTCAGGTTACATTTTGAAGTCATTAATAAAGTAATGAAACAAAGATTTGTGGAGTTTATTTAGTAAATAGAGTTGTGTTACTTATACACGTAATGTTTTTTATTAAAAATGAGTGGTTTTCACATGATAAAGGATACAAACACAATAGTTTATTTTTAGGTTCAATGATATAGTCGACAACTAGACACTTTTTGTTTTTAAAATTATATGAATAAATGTGTAACATAGATTTTAAAGTGTTTCTCATTTGACTATATTTCCTTTATGTCCATGTTGTTACAAATATTACTTACACACAAAGTGACGTATTAAATGTCAAATATACAGTACAATCATGTGAAATTCAAAATAAATATTTAACACTAATATATGTGCATTTCACTGTATGAAAACCAATAGAACATAGAACAAGTTTTAATGTTTTAATAAATGGCTGATCATTTAAAAAGAAACACGCAAACAAACTTATGAGCACTCATAATTTACTTCATGTTCTTTTATAACAATTAAAAGCATATGTAACAGACTTACTTGATTATGTACTTGATTAAGTCGCTTGAGAATTATGTTTCAAACAGAAATGTTTATAAAGGTACCAGAATTGTGTTGTGCACCTTTATATTTATGTTTTAATTTTACCTAATGTTTAATAAAACTAAAATTAATAAATATACCACAAACATTTTTCATTTAAAGGGCATTTATTAAATAATTAAAATAAAAATCTGTAAAAACACTGGGTTAGAACTACAATAATATCTTGTTCAAATAACTAGTCCCTTTTAACATATTTCAAAGGCAGCCACCCTCCTCTGTGTAAAGCCTGGCAACTAATTTTCTGTCTCTACCACCCAAGGAGATGAGGACTGTGTGCTATATGGCATGTGACGCTTTGTGGTTCAGCCATACGCAATTGCAAAGCATTCAAACTGTGGAGTCAGAACCCCCAGAACATTAACAAAATGGAAAAGTATCCACTAAATGGATTATGATTGTAGACGCTTTGAAAATGCCACAGAGTGTGTGGAGAAAAAAAAAGATAAACTCCTTTGCCATAATTGTTCATTTGAATGCTCTCTCTCCTCCCCAAGCCAATTAACGAGTGCAAACCTTCATCAGGCGGCAATGGAAATGAGTGGATTTGAGAAGAGTGGCGGTGAAAATGCGTCTCTTCCACCTGCACCTGGTGAGATGTAATCAGCCGGCCTTCAGGAGGGGAAACTTTTGATTTCACAATGCTTCATTTGCACCCTAATGGCTCTCTTTTTGTTTCACGACTTAATAATAACAATCTGCTTTTAACAATGGAGCCCGGTGTGTACGAAGGGCATTCCTACGAAGGAAAGGGAGAGGATGATATCTCAAACTGAACAGAACTGACGGGCTATTTTCCCCCTATCCTATGAAGTGTCAGAAGCAAAAGATACACATCGTTTCGTATAGCGGTGATGTGTGTTTTATGAGAGATTGACTTCGCTTTGAGGGGAAAAATCACATCGACATCTAACACATCCCTCACATCCACGCAAAAAAAATGACACATGAGAGACAAAGCAAAGGGCAGGAATTCCTCAATTCCTGTCATCTATTTAGAATTCAGCCATTTGTAGATCAAACCCCAAAAGCACATATGAAGTTTTTGACAAGGACACCTAGATGCAAAAACCATCAGCTCCAAATGTCAATCAGAGTTTTGCTTTATGCTTTATTTATTAGCTGTGCCCTTACATGAGTAATTATGAAATAACTGATGTCAAATTTCAAGGTTGTTACTGTATATTAGACAGTATGAATGTGCCTAATATTATGAGGTGAATTATTATTAATTTCACACTGAGCTGTTCACAGAACGTTGGGAGTTCTTCACTTAAAAAAGGGTAACTATGCATATCACACTCAATGTCACAGGGATTTTGCTTCCGAAAGTGGAAAGTCCCATCTACACCCTGCACTTTACATCACCCTAGCAATTCATAGTCCAGCAGCTCCTCTAAAAACTCCAGGCAAGACCAAACAGACGTGGAGCGCTGAGTGTTTGATTTGCTCCATTAGTGCTGGTGGAGTATAAACAGAATCTCTCAGACTGACTTCCCTGTCTGTTCAAAGGTCCCTCAGTGCTGTGCTCTTCAATGGCTGGATTTGACTTTTAAATGACCATGAGCTTGCCTAAGAAGCTTTTTACACAAACCAGCGGGGGAGTGTGGGCTTTGTTTTACCCTCTGTTTCATTTTTCTCTTAAATTGCAAATAGGTATGTTCACTGAACTCCTGTTTGTGCCCTTTAGGCGCGAAACACAACGAAGGAAGAATAACCGCAGATAACAGCTGGAGGGAAAAGTGGGGTGTCTCTCATTTTTATGCAAAAAGTTGCCCTGAGACATCTGTAAAGAAACCCATAATTTAGAAGTCATTATTTATAAGACACGTTTATCCAAAGTGACTTACAACACAAAACCTGAAAAACCTCTTTGGAGTAATCTGGTTTTGTTCCTGCTTTCTTTCACACACTCCTAAAAATGCTTGAGTTCATAAGTTGTCCCTAAGTGTTTTTGCACATTGTAAGCCTTTTGCTATAGAGCTACAGAAGAAATAGAAGTTTCCCACACAAAAGACACAGGTTCGAGTCCATGACAAGTACCGGCACATGACCACATTATATAATGCAGATTAATAAATAAAATATTGTTTTGTAATTTTACTTAAATAAATACAACTATATATAACTATATATCGATATAAAAACTATCAAATAAAATAAACTATATGTTGTACCATATCATTTATTACACTCTAAAAAATGCTGGGTTTTTAGGGTTTTTTTTAACCCAATTTTGGCTCAAATATGGACAAACCCAGCCATTGAGTTACAATTTTAAATAGGGGATTATCACGCTGATACGTAGTAGTTGCGGATTCTGTGATCTTTGTGCACTGCCACTTCCGTTGAATCACCGATCTCGCTGGCAAATTGATGAAGGACTACAATAAGTTTATTTATACAGCATCCCTGGTAAATTAGTCTGATTCACTAAAGTGCCGGCTGCAAACAAACGTGCTACCTTGTTTTATTTTAAAGTTTTAATCCACTTCTTCCTTGTACTCAATTCAGTCGGGAATCCATGAAAACTTAAGTAGGGCTGGTGTTGTTGGTTAGATTTACAAAGTGGAACAGAGCAGTGACATAAATAGCATTCGTCTCAGGCATTGTTGAACTGCGTCGGAAATGCACAAAGTTGACAAATCCCATTCCTATTACATTTTTAACCCAATGACTGGGTTTGTCCATATTTGAGCCAAAATTGGTTTAAAACAACCCAGCATTTTTCATTTCAATAGGCTCAAAATTATAGAATAGAATAGAATAAAATAGAATAGAATTGCTTGTCATCTTAATAAATAAATAGTTGTATGCTATATACTATAAATAGTGGAACATTACACGTCTTTAGTTCTCACTTGTCATATATCACAACTGTTCAGTGATCCATTCCATGTAAACCATATATGTTCATTTTATGTTATTTAATTACACAAATATTTAAAAAAAAAATACTCTATTTTTAACTATAGTTACATGCACAAAGTTATTCTTATTATTATAAACTCTATTCCTTTCCCAATTCACCGACCACTTACTTTCACGTATTTCGGGAGAATGGATAAATGCACGTATTTTAAATTTGACAACTCTGATTCTGAATTGCAGTGTAGCTCAACGCCGAGGTGACCCCTAGACATGCATGCTCATTTTTTTCCTTGCCACTGTTTACATTGATTAAATTATTACTGCCTCCCTGAAAGGATGTTTTTCTGTCGCTTTAAGTGAGTTTTGATAATAGCTCAGCAAGGAGACCAGTATCGTGTTTTAAGAGAGAGACAGATGGTGAGAAAAAGGAGCTGGAGAGACAGATGCAGAGAGAAAACACACACCACAAGCCACAAGGTGTAGTAAAAACTACAAAAAAAGAGAGAAAGACTGTGAGGCAAAGCACTCCCTTCCCTATAGTGTACATCTAGCATCAATAATGCACCAGGGAAACTAACACAGCACCTCCCTCACAGCCATACGTCTCTTCAGCCTTCACTGTGGGGAAAAAACCCTGCAGGAAGAAGCACACTGCCAAGTCTAAGTTATGAAAAAGAAAACAAGAGGGAAAACAAATCAAACTGCACTTCTGCCAGAGGAAGTAACTACATCTGACATCACTCATTTAAGTTGAGTTGCTTAGTTCACTGAAATGACGGTACTGGAAATAGTTTAGTGTTTAAGGAGCTTAAATGGCTCATCACACCTCTCTATTCCTCTACCTTCCCAGCCAAGATTTCCCCATCTCCTTCCCATTAACAGTCACGCCGACCTTTCCTTTTATTGTCCTCCATCTCTATCTCTCTCCACCTCCTTCTTTCAGCCAAAGTCAGTCCAACTCGGAGAGACACAAAGGCCGCCTGAGTGATGGAGAACAGCCTCAAGAGGAACTTTGATGTTTATCATTGAGCTTTTCAAAGACTGTAACTAAAAAATGGGGCTTATCTTGAACAGACCGCAGAATTCTAAATAAACTGAGCTGATTACATTTCCGAGCATTTTCATTCGCTGGAGGAACGGTTCACTGAAAGGCCTAAAAACACTATTTGCTCAATCGTTCTGACAAAGAAAGAAAAAAATTCTCTACATGTGCTTTTTTTAAACCTATTTTGACTAGTTCAGAATAAAACTAAGTAATTCAACCATTTTATCCATTAATCCCAGGAATGTCTTTGACAACACAAGGATGGTGGTAATAAAATGCTTTGAACAAACTGTGAATATGCCTAAAATCAATACGACTGATGGTCACAGAGCCTTTTAACTTCCACAATATGACATATT